CAATCACTGCCTCCCCCCCAGCCTGTAGGTGGACACGATCTCACTCAGCCTGCACGTGGAAACTGCCCCCCTTAGCCTGCAGGTGAACACTGCCACCCTCAGCCTGCGGATGAACTGGACACTGCCACCCCCAGCCTGCACTGTTCATCTGCAGTGCAATCTATTTAATAGTTCAACTTTCAGCTTCAGGTTTAAATATAATCATTCATTAAAAAATTGATTTAAAAAATGTGTTTTAAATTTGTGTACCAAAACCCCCTCAATACCTCCCATATTTATCTATGCAAATGAGACACAGTTATTTTTAGGTTAACCGACACATACTGGTGCATCAATGATTAAAAATGATTAAGAAATGTTCCTCTCCAGTCATTAGTAATAGATATGACGACATGACTCTTCATTCTACCCTCATTGTATGTACAGAGGCCTAATGACGTGTCTCCTTCCTCCCCAGGAGTCCCAAGTACAAGGATCTGTTTGCGGTGGGCCACGGATCCTGTAAGTGTCTCCTCTGAATGATTATCCTACATGTGTAAATATGGCGTGATGGTGGAAGTGACACATTGCTGTCACAGAGACTCTTGGGGGGGGGTATCCAGGATTACATATGTGTTAGTACATAGAACTATATGAATGCACAAAGTACAGTAAGTGTAGCCCGTAGTGTTTTTTCTTTTTTCTGTTGCTGTAAGATACCCGGTGATCCTGCCACTTCTTCTGGGTTCCTGCTTCAGTCTGACCACGCCAAGCATGTGAGCAAATCCATGGTGGCGTGATCAGTTTGCATCCCTTGGGTTGCTGCTAGGAGTCACAGGACGCATGGACAAGGCACAGCATGCCTGTATCTCCAGTAGTCTCCCGTCCAGACTATCATTATCCTTGTACTGATGTACTGTGTCCTGTACTCCTATATAGCAGAGGTGTCAAACTCAAATACACAGTGGGCCAAAATGTAAAAAATGCTCCAAGTCGAGGGCTGGGCTGGTTCACACAGTATAATAAAGCGGCATATGCAGTATATCACACAGTATAATAAAGCGGCTTATACAGTATATCATACAGTATAATAAAGCGGCATATACAGTATATCACACAGTATAATAAAGCAGCATATGCAGCATATCACACAGTATAATAAAGCGGCATATATAGTATATCACACAGTATAATAAAGCGGCATATATATAGTATATCACACGGTATAATAAAGCGGCATATGCAGCATATCACACAGTATAATAAAGCGGCATATGCAGCATATCACACAGTATAATAAAGCGGCATATGCAGCATATCACACAGTATAATAAAGCGGCATATGCAGCATATCACACAGTATAATAAAGCGGCATATACAGTATATCACACAGTATAATAAAGCCTGTACTTTTAATTATTAAAAAGCATGATACATAATTACAATGAAACATTTTTTTTAACTTTTTTATTTACTTTCCCTTTAAGAAATTGCCTAAATATTTAAATAATAAAAGCCAAAAGCAGACATTAAATAGTGCAGTGTAATAATCTGCTAAATAGGAAGATGGAACTCAGCTGCGGAGACACGTTAACAGTCACGTGCTCTAGCCCAGGAGTACGTGATGGCAAGGGTTAATATTGCCAAGCAAGCTCAGTGCATCATCGGTCTATCTTCCAACCTAACTATGCTTGCTACACCTGTAGAGAGTAGTAATAGGGGAAGGGTCTGTAAGTTGATACTCTGGATCAGCAGTTGGAATGGTAGGGACACATCAATGTTATATTCACATCTCAATTAGGGATGCACAGATACTTTTTAGATACCAGTGCAGATACTTGGCATTTTCATGAGAACTCCCAGGGTTGCAGCGGTTGCAGCTGGGACCTGGCTCTGGCTCTCCACCACTGTCCTGAAATCATTAGTCTGTATTGTTTTAGAAAAACTGTCACATGACAATAAACAAAAATGTATCAGTACTCGTACTTGTAAGTAGGGATGCACCGATACCGATACTAGTATCGGTGCCGATACCGAGTATTTGGGTGAGTACTCGTACTCGCCCAAATGCTCCGATACCTAGCACGAGTACTTCTGTATCAGGAAGCCGGGCAGTGCATCATTACACGCTGCCCGGTTTCCAGATTGGCCAGGAAACGGCTCCATGCTTTCTCGTCACTTGTGATGAGAGAGCATGGAGCCGACTTCCTGGCCAATCAGGAAGCCGGGTAGCGTGCAATGACTCGCTGCCCTGATTCACCGATTGGTCAGGAAGCTAGCAAATCCGGAAGCCAGGCGCCGTGTAATGACGCAGCGCCCGGCATTCTGATTGGTCGGGAAGCCGGCGTCATGCTCCCTCGTCATCTCATGAATCATAATATTAAGAAAGTGACCTTAAAGCATTAGTTTGTATTGCTTTAGAAAAAATGTGACCTGTCCCTTTAAGAAAAAGTATCGGTAATTGGTATCTGCGAGTACTTGATCAAAAGTATCGGTTCTCGTACTCGGTCTTAAAAAGTGGTATCGGTGCATCCCTACTTGTAAGTACTCGTACTTGCAAAACTGGTATCTGTGCATCCCTTTATTTATATTTATAAAAACAAAATCGTACATTAAAACAGAGATGTACAAATCCCGGGAGCTCCGTGTGCTCCTTACAAATGACAGCGGCCTCCTAATTTTTGAATTTTTCTCTAGTGTAGTCTTGGAGCTCAAAAGTATCTGTACATGTACTCGTACTTGTACCGAGTACTGTACTTGGTATCTGTGCAACCCTAATCTCAATGCTTAATTCACTGGCAATTATGTTCACTCCACATACCCAGTACTTCAGTATCACAGTCAATCATATATTAATGAACCAGTTGCTATTTATATATATGTTCACTTCACATATACTTAGTAATGAGAATCACAGTCCATTAGTTCAGAGATGTTACTACGGTTCCACAGTGTCAGTATAGACCCAACTATATATGCATAATCGTTAATTGCCAGTAGAGGGCTCACATCACATATGTCTTATGCTGAAGTATAATTAATCCAGATAGCTTATAGTAGTGAGCTAAATCCCCTGTGGGTAGCAACCCAGAGGGGAATACTTGCGCTTAGGTGTCCTGATGATGGGGTGAGATTGTTCCTAGGCACGCTAGCGCAGAACCCTATGGAGGATGTCAGCAGGTTCACAGCTATCAGGTGGGTGATGCTGAGACCTCCTGTCAGAGGCTGTAGTGGGTGGCGCTGACGGAAAGGAGACCGGCACTCGTCTGGCGTCCGCATGGGGTTGCTGGAACGCCAGACAGTTGCACAGTCGCGGCTTAGGACGGGGCGGGTCCCGCCTGACGGCGTCAGCCCAGGGGCGGAGCTACGGTTCGAGTCCGTGACTCGGAACGGCAACGTCCCCGGGAGCCATTACATACAGAGCATTTACTACAAAAGAATTTACTTACGAAAAGGTTTTTCATTCTGGTGCCCGCTTCTGTGGATCCTTCCCCTGCTTTCTATCCTCATTGCGCAGGGGAGATATCAGTGGGGGATCAGGAAAATCATCAATTAGAGATGTTTATAAAAATAGTTATATCTCTATTTAAATTACAGTAAACAAAAAAAAGTATGTTAGGGGGTGCTCACTGGGGACAGTATGGAGTCCATTCTGTCCCCAGTGAGCATCCCCCCACATAATTTTTACTATAATGTAAATAATAGAGATCATACTATTAGATGACATACTATTGTGGAGGCAGGAGGTACACAGGTGTCACACATACTACTTTCAGTATATCACTCCCCTCTTCTCAATCTACAGTACAGAAGAAGTGATGGAGAAGAAGGGGAGAGATATACTGACTGACAGTGTCACAGCACAGTACCTGCAGACTGCAGCTCTCCCGGCTCTCTGTCTGGGTTGGATCCTGATTCCCGCCAGGGACCACCTCACAATGGCTGGACTGGACCTCGGAACCCCTCTCAGTCACCTCACGGCCACACCTCCCTTGTCACGCTGTGCTGCTGCCTGCTGGGCAATGCAGTCCTCTGGCCGGCGGCAGCTCTCCGGCTCCTCAGTCCCATGAAGATCGCCGCGGGCAGCGTGATAGAGCTGCCAGCAAGCAGGGCCAGATCTAATGATAATTATCATCAGGCGGGCTCGAGATAATTCCGTTGCGGGCCGGTTCTGGCCCGCGGGCCTTGAGTTTGACACGTATGCTATATAGTATAACTCCTGTGATTATACAGAAAGCCACGTCTCCTGGCCCACCCATTGCTATCCAGAACCCTGTGATGGTCCTGGGATGTCAGTCTTTCCTATAGTAACGTCTACAGCACCAGGATGCTTCCAGTTCCTCAAGGAGCTCCTGGGATATGAGATGTAGTCCGGCATCTTTGTCCCTACTCCATGGAGCTAGTGTGAAAAAAGGGCACTTAGCAGTCATGTGACCTCAATTTAAAAACTCAGAGAAAGGTATTTCGATGCATTGTGATAAATGTGTGGAGTGATCTTTGTCTTTACCATGTGCAGGAAGACTATTAGACTACACAGATACTTCAATACTCCAGGAGAGAAGTTGGGGAGAAGGGCCAGCATGCAATCTGCAGACAGAACTATCAGTTCACAGCTTGTAGACTTCTGCCCTCTAATGGTTAGTTGCAGCATTGCACCGGGTTATTGAGTATTCAAGGCAGAGAAAAGAGAAGACATGGAATAGAAATGTCAGTACAAGTGACATTTGACAAGTATCTGGGCACATTAAATATTTATCACATTTTGCACTCGCCTTTCACCCTACAACGTGCAGCATGAAGTGAAAAAGTCACAAATGTGCTGAGCAAGGACACTGGTGAACCGGTAAAATAATCACATGCAAGGGGCACATTAGTGTTTAAAAAAAAATCTTTACTCATCCACACCGGCATGAATCTGAATTGTTCCTCTTTGTGTGATCACTCCTCTGCTCTGTCCATACAATGGGAATGTCCCTGCTCTACTTGGTGTAAGTTGTGATACCAACCTACATGATGTAATGGGGGGGGATGGACACAGACATGAGGCGTAGGAGGGTTATGAATACATAAAAGGATATTAATACCTTTCTTAAATTCCCTACTCCCCTGAGTACAGCCCATCCCAGGTAACACTTACCCTCAGATGCAGAGATCTTACCTCCCATGCGGTCCCATGTGGCTCCTCTTCATTCTGCTCATGCACACCATGGCCCCATTTGTTCCTATGGGTAAGCTGTACTCTGAGAGATTGCAGAAAGCCTCCATGAGTATGACTACCCATAGGAATGAATGGGACCATGGGGCACATGAGCAGAATAAGGAGGAGCCGGCCAGTGACTGGATAAGGCAGGGCTGGCACTAGGAGCCAATCATGACCAACTTTAAACATGCTTATAGGAGAAGAGAGTAGAAGGATGACCTATCTTTGCCTTTCTCAAACTTTTTTTTTTACCCAAGAGGAACCCTTAAAATAATTTTCAGATCTTAGGGAACCCCTTCTAAAACCAATTAATTGGGGGTC